TCAAGATTAGACCACAACAACTTCACAACAAACCACAATAACAATCAACAACAATTCCCCACCTCCACATACGATGTTCCCATACTCTCATGTTATATCAATGCACAAAATTAAATTGCCTCCACATGGGTCGATGCTTTCTATCAAGAAAGTAATAGCCTCCTTTTAGGCTTATGCTTTGAAAAGAATTTTTTTTAAAAAAATGTGATAGCCTTGACAAGGGCTATCTCGCAAGCATGTAGAGAATTGAACAATTATAGTAAAAGAAATTCAAGGAAGCTAATGAAAGTCCGTAGCAACAACGTCACAATGGTGCCAAGATCCACTGCTTGCTCCTCTTCTTTTAAAGTACCTAATTGAACAAGAGGGATTTGTAAGAAAATAGTAATTTAAAGAAAACAATCAAATTAACCCTAATGCCTAATTCAATTCCAACTAAACCGTCAATCCCCAGCAATGGTGCCAAAATTATGATGCGACCCGAGCGTGTGCACAAAATAATGCACAACACTTTGGTTTTGGAAATGGTATCAAGCAGGCATCATAGTTTACATTTATAAATCGTTAGACACTTATACTATGTAGTATGAAGTGAGAAGGGATCATCCCAAGAGATTGAACACGTGTTGGAATTTAACTTGACTTTAAAGTTAATAAGATTGCACAAGAGAGAGAGAGAGAAAGAGAAAGTTGAGAGAAAAAGAGTTATGTGAAGTGATTAAATAAATTGCAATGCCAGTAAATTAAACTAAATTAAACTAAGGAATTAAAGAGATATGAAGAGAGTCTTAGGGTTAGGATTCACCACTAAGCCCATTCAATTAATCATTTGCTTTCAATTAATGGGGAAATCATTAATGTAATCATAGATGTGGTTACATTATCATCACAAATCACAATTGTAAGCATAGATTATCAACATCAAGAACGAATTGTCTACCTAATGACAACTTAACTAAAGTGTAGAACCTATTCAAGACTACGTCATAACCCACCATACACATTCACAAATGTATCCGATAAGAGCACACATCAATTAGGAAGATAATACTAATTGCAATTAGAAGTATGGGTTAACATAATCAAGCACAAATTGCTTACTTTACTACAATTAACTAATGACAAGTAAGCTAATTTGTAGAACAACCCATCAAGATTAAGCCAATTGTATCAAATAAGTATCATGCTATGGCCATCACTAAACATAGCTACAAGGAGTATCTAGTGTAGAATATAATTCTAAAGTAATCATACATAGACATGCAATTTACATATAGAATTAATGGAAGAATTAAGTTTAAATCATCTATTGAAGAATAAAATCCCTAATTAATCATACATAGACATATAATCAACTAGAGATTTCAATGAAAGAATTCATCAATACAATCCTTAATTTGTCAAATCAAGCATGTATATATAAAGAAATCACAAGGCCATACAATTAATTACAACATATTAATTCCCCAAGCCCTAAGTGAAGAACTAGCTCATGGAGGAAATGATCATGGTGTCAACAAGCTCCATCTCCATCTTTTGGCTCCTTCTTTTTCTTCCTTCCATTGTAGACAGAGAGTCTGTAAAACTTCTTGAAACCCTAACTTTTTCTTTCTTTTGCTTTTTCCAGAGAGAACGATCTATCTTACAGTCAAAAACTAAAAACTAAATAAAATAATCATAAAAACTCTCCCTACAATGGGTCTTTGTTTTTCCTTTAATACCCACATTATTAGAGCTCCATAGTTCACAAAATAAGCCCTAACAAGAAAATCCCGTAGCCAAATAAAAGCTAAATCCTGCAATGCTGCCAGGGGCTAGGGGATCGATCCCCCAACCGTGGGGATCGATCCCCAGTGGGTATTTTTTTGTACCTTTCTGCCAATAGTGGGGGATCGATCCCCCAGTGCTAGAAATCTCTTTTAAACCCTGTTTAACTCTATTTTGGCCCCGGGCTAATCGGTTTGCTTCTTGATTGTTGGGAACATCATCAAAGGCCCGAAAAAAGGTAGAATTGACCGCTTTTGAAGGATAAGCACACTATATGAACAATGGGCCGCGGCCTCTTTTTGCCATTTTCTAAATATTTTCTGATTGTCTTTGCTTGACTCCAAAAAGGTTTTAATGAACCGAAATTAATCCGTTTGAACCTTATTGACATGAAAATGACAAAAACATAAATTAGAACTAAAATATGCAAGTACGATAGATGCAATGACTTAAATACCCTAGCTTAGGTGCTGAAATATGCAACATTTAAGCACTTATCAAGAACTTTTTGCATTAAGAAGGAGAACCATTGATCTTTGCATTTACATAACATTGCATTGATATTTAGGCATTAAAATTTAACTATTTTTTGCTCGTGTTTATTTTCTTGATTAAGTTTCATGGGTAGTTGTGTTTGAGCTAATGTGCAGATTACAGGTTACTACACGTGTTGAAGCTTCATGAGGTTCAAGAAAATTTCTGTGGTTTTATTTTCTTTAACAATCATTATAATTTACTTTCTGCTTGGGTAGATTGCTGAATTGTTTTTAGGATTTTGTCACGAAATTGCCAAAGGGGGAGATTGTGAGATACATATTTTATAATTGGCTAATTTTGTTGTCAAAACAAGTCCGATTAAGTTGTAATTTTACGGTTCTAAAATTCAAGTTTGAAGACCGGATGCGGATTTGAAGAAGTTCAAGTGTTCATGGTTTTTTATACTCTGAGATGATGAGAACAATACTTTAGGAAGGTATGTGAGTGAGTAATGAAACTTCAGGGAGTTTAGAAGGTTGAAGGAAATAGAGATTTCACTTCTGTCCATTGGGAACCGGTAGGAGAATCCTTGAACCGGTAACAAACCTTGGTTCACAGCAGAATTCTTCACTGCTTCTTGAACCGGTACCACATTTGGGAACCGATAGCCAAAGTGCGTCGAAAAGGCTTCTGACATTCTTAAACCGGTACAAAGATTTGGGAATCGGTATTAGAAGTCCTGACAACATTAGAACTTTCAGTTTCTTTTTGATCCCAACTTCTTTCCAAGCCCTATGCACAAATTTTTTTATATTTTCAGAGGGATTAGGACATTCTAAACTCTATATAAGCCTTGATAATCATCAAGGTTTATTCATGACTTTAAAGAACATTAATTCTGTATTTTGAAAAAGCCTTTTAGAGAGAGAAAATTCAGAAAATCAAATATGATTATTCTGAATTTATTCATGAGTGATTTAGTGGTGTTGTTCTCTATCTCATCAGAATCTGAGCTATATTGAAAATTTAGAGATTCCGAATGAAGAGCAGGATTTAATTCTTCTACATCGAGTTCAGATCTTGAAGAATAGAAGTAAAAACGATCACACTTTGAAAGGGTTGGAGCATTCGAGGAGTGCTGTCTGATCTACCTGCTACTCTTCTACAAAGATCAAGCATAAGCCTGAGGTTAATTTGCTGTTGGACGGGGAGTCGCGAAGGCATAGGATCGTCAGCTATTGGTGTTTAGTAGAACGATAGGGTGTGAGCCAGAGTCAAAGTTCAGTGTACTTTGTTTCAAACATAGTGGATCGGTTTACTTTGGACCATATAGTCCATGAGGTTTTTCCTATGCAAATAGTTGACATATTTTATCAACTGGGGTTTCTTCGCTAAAAATCCTGGTGCAATCTCTCTAACTTTACTTTACAGTATTTATATTTATGATTATGGATGATTAATTGATCAGATAATTTAATCAATCATAAATTGAGCAAGTTGACTTAATAATCAGATCTAGGTCATTACAGGAGTTAATCACAATTAAATTCAACTAATAGCTTCCGCACCCTGCGTTAACACTGTTTTCATCGAAGATTACAAATTGAAGAACGTTTTGGTTCTTCCGGACAATAATCACTCTTCTCACAATAAAACGTCACCCACTAAACGAAGAAAAGCTCACTAGCCAAACGCTCTAAAAAAAAATCCCTAATAATTATTTGGTTTACATAAAGAAGAAAACCTACCCAAAGACAAATTTCAAATATTTCTCTTGAAGATTGTACACACAAAAATGATTTCTTCACACAAAAAACCAATATAACTTATTTTGACTCTACTTTCTTGATCATAATATCTTTCTGGGATCTTTGAAGGATCTCACCGGGATCTATATTTTTTGCTGCGTGTTATGCCTAATTTATAGGCTAAAGTTGCCGCCTTTGGATAGCTGACCTATTGCTGGTACAAAGCAATTCATTCCTTATCAATTACTTTCCGTGAAGTTTACTTATTACCTTATTAAACCCTTAACTTGCACATTAAGTCTTCCACACGACCAAACAATTAACCACCACAATTTTATCATTCAACCAATGAAATTCTGCTAAAATCCCAACAAAAATAAACATAGATAAATGAAAGCAGAAGAACTCAAAGGGATTCTCTTCATTGTTTGTCTGATTTGAGGGCAAAGATCTCGTTGAGTTCTTAATAATCATGATATTTTTTTGGTAGACATAGCCAAATGGAGCATATCTTTGGACCATCTTCTTTGGGTGGTTGATATTGAACTAGTAGAATTTGGTGCATTTGTATTATGTCGTCTGTATTGGTTTATATAGGGATCTCGAATAAGAGAATGCATCAATTCTTATTGAGAATGAACAGTTCTCGATCAACTAGATCACAGGAAAACAACAGAAGAGATGTATCATATTCAACCAATAAAAAAAGCATCGTATAGAATTCAAGTTTAGATACAAAATGATATCCATAAATACTTCAAAGAAACATATGTTAAGTATATTTCTCATCATGATTAACTTACACAGGATGGAAAATATTATAGAGGACAATAAAATTTTCTTATTGATTATGATTTCTTAAACCCCAAAAGTAGGAACATCTTTCAATGCTTACACACTATTATTCAAACAAGGACATGTAATATATGGAAAAAAACAAAACCTCAACCACCATATTTACTTTGATAATAGATATTAGACATCTGACGATGATGATACACTACTATCTTAATAAAAACTTGTTGAAGTTGAAACAGCATCCCAAGACCCAGTGAGGTCAGCTATTGCAAATTCAACCTCTTCAAAGTTTTGTTGAATAGTGGCGATGCTCTGTGGCATTCTAATCCCTTCCAACTCTATTGCAACTTCTTTCATTGTAGGCCTTTTTCTCCCATTCAAGTTCAAGCATCGTTTTGCAAGATTAGCGACTAGCATGATCTCTTCTTTCCCACCTTCTTTCACAACTCGAGCATCAAGAATATCAAATAGACGATTCTCCTTCATCGTCAATATGAAATATGCTGCTAAACTTCGCCATTCTTCAGATATGGCTGATGAGATCGCCTTTTGTCCTGTTAAGAGCTCAACAAGAACTACTCCAAAGCTATAAACATCACTTTTCTCGGTAAACTGGCTTGATCGGAAATACTCAGGATCCAAGTATCCAAAGGTCCCTTGTACTTTTGTGGTCAAGTGAGTTTGATCACCTACAATTGATCTTGAAGTCCCAAAGTCGGACACTTTTGCTCTGTATTTATCATCCAATAATATGTTTGTGGACTTGATGTCTCGATGATAAATGGGTACGGAAGCTGCTGAGTGTAGATAGGAAAGAGCTCCTGCAACTTCTATAGCAATCCGAACACGAATGTCCCAGGAAAGAGGGAAGTCTTCATTTTGGTCATGGATATACTGGAAAAGGGTTCCATTAGGGATGAATTCATAAACAAGCAAAGGTACTTCAGTCTCCAAACAACATCCATGTAGCTTGACTATATTTCTATGGATAATTTGTGATGAAATGACCACCTCATTAATAAATTGTTCAAGTCGGCTTTCATCCACCAGTTTGGACTTCTTAACCGCTACAATCGTACCATCTACTAACATGCCTTTGTAAACAGTACCTTGGCCTCCTTGCCCTAGTATTCGATTCTCATTAAAGTGGTCAGTGGCTTTTTCCAACTCCTTTGAAGAGAAGAGTTTGGTTTTCTCAACATTACCTTCACCTAAAGACAATTGTTGTTGTAATAACAGACCCCCATTTCGTTTAAAGAATTTTTCATGGAGCTTAATTTTCCTTCTTCTTTTCACTAGTTTAATTATCCACCATGTACCAAGTAGAAATAGTATTCCGAAACCTGTTCCAGTACCTGCAGAACTCAATAGGAAAGAATCACCTTTGCAGCCTAAAAAATTTATGCTTGAGTGAAAAATACTTGTATAGCTAATAGTCCAAATATTCAATTATAATGTTTTATTACAGTTATATAAAAACTCAAAGTTCAATGAGAATAAATGACAAGTTTTGTAAAGCATTTATAATCAAATAAAATTATTGTTCACCGTCTCACATATTTAATACTAATGCACACTACTTCTAGTACATAAAAGAACTACTTTGAATGCATAAGTGTACCGCTTTCAATACATATCGTAATTAACTATAGTGTAAATATATTTTTGTATATTGAACTTTGGAATTTTCATATACCTATAGTGTAAATGGAAATTTTTATAGCTTCCCTACACTCGTTTACTGTATAGCGTGTTCCTATCTATGGTAGTTCGTAGAGCTTAAAAAATCATGTTCACAGATTTAAAAATCTTGGGTGTGTGTCTGTTATTTTTTTTCTTCTTCTTCATTTTGGCTCAAATTAAATTTAGTTCTTTTTTATATGGGCTCAAACCGAATTGATCCCCGGGGCGTGGGGAGTTGTTTGTACCTGCGATAATGATCACATTTCTGTTGCCTTCCTTCAGTTTATAGCAATAGCTTCCATCGGGTCCAAAAGGTGAGTACCCAGGTGGACAATTGCACTTATAACTCCCTGGTATATTCTCACAGTTCATCTGACAACGATTGGTATCATCCCTCGCACATTCATCGATATCTGATATGCAGAATCAAACAAAGTAAGTTATTAACATGTTTGTCTACACGCCTGCACATGACTACATACAAAGTACTTGAGACATACACAGAAGAGTAACAACATAGTATAACTTGTGTACATATTGTTAAAATTAGGGTAAATTACACTATCTCCTATGGTTTATTTTGTCAAATTACACGCTAATAGAGCATCTAGAGTTTATTAGTTTGATCTATTTTGAAATTTGGTGTGTGCGCTCAACCGCCCCTCCATCAATTAACTGTTATAATAGTTAAAAATATTTATTGTACCTAAACTACCCTTATATTATGCAGAAAGACATTAATTACCTTACAATTCTATGTAATCTACATCAATGCATATATATATACACTCATATACTGGAGTAATATATGGACTTTAGCAAAAAAATTATAGTTTTTTTGCTAATTAAATTGAATTAATATATATATATATATATATATATATTATAATACATATATGTATATATAATCCACATACAAATTTATTATATTTAAATAAAATTAATATTAATCTATTTCTCCCTTCAACTTGTTCTATTTTCCCCACCCGCTCCTTTGCCAACTGTGCCGTCGGCTTCCTCTTCCTTTCCTAAACCCTAAAATCTAAATATTATTCCTTTCCTTTCCACCTTCATGATCACTAGCACCATCTCGTGAAGTGTGTCTGCTCCTGACTGCTAGCTGCATCTGAATTGTCTGTTGGTTCTCTCAAACTTCAGGAGAGGTTAATTGAGAGATTTGGAGGGATACTGTAATTTATCTTAGAATTTAATACAGACAAGCTGCTAGGGTGTTTGCTGCATAATGAACACAAGTATTGCATAACTAAACAGAAAATTTATTAATTGCTGTACTTTACCTTGGCATCCATGAAGGAAATACGGGTTTCCTTCATAACCGTGGTCACACAGGCATAGTTCAGTGTAAGTTTGATTGAAACAGTAAGCATTAGTGCCGCATAATGAACTGTCAGACACATTAGAATTGTCGGCATCCAATGTATGGCACATCCCATATACAGCGGCCCAACTCAGCACAGCAGGGACCACCTTCATTTCCCGCACGGCATAGGGGTCGGTCAGGTTAGTGAACCATTCTTGGTCCACCATAAAGGCATATTTGCACTCTTTATCATCATTGTTTGAATCTATGCTTCTGAAAGATGCATTGATAAAGTCTAGTGTAGGAGGGATTGTGGTTTGGCAGCAGTTGATGCCAAAGCATCTTTTATCTCCTGAAGTAAAATTGCAGTTGGACACGCACCCTATGGCCATTCCTTCCCAGTTGATCAAGGCGAGGTTGTCACAACCCATGGCCGTGAATCGGTTGTTTGTGTCTGAGAAGTAAAAAGGAGTATCGACCAAGTCCACAACTTGATTATTAACCCTGTTATCACAATTAGAAGTGATTACCGGGTTGTTGACACAAACAGTGCCTTCTGTTAACGAGATTTCAAGCACCTCAAGGTTCATGCTAGTGATGAATGGTTTGGGTGGGGTGAAAGATTTGTTGCAGATTATCTCAAACGAGTAAGAGTCATTCAAACAACAATTGGCTCCAATACCAAATGGGTATGGAATGCTAACATTTCCGCATCTGTCTGGACAACCAGGCTTTGCTAGTGATGCTTCAGCTAATGCTGATGATGCTTCTGTTAGTGTTGGCCACAACAATAGTGCGATTTGCAGCACCAATTGAATAATCATTCTCCTCTTTCTGTTTTTGGAAGAATGAAAGGAAAGAACGAAGAAGACCACTACTATCTATTAGTCATTGTCTCATTAGTTAATGCCATTTTCATTAAACGGTGGTTCCAAAGTTGTAGCCTACCATTAGTCAATGCCAAATACTTTTAAGAGACTTATTGTGTAAATTGTTAAACAAAGTTGTGTTGTGTTTAACGTTTGTACGACTTAGGTTGTATCGTGTTATTCATTCAATAAAGGGTTATATTAGTGTAACATAACCATTCCATACAGGAGCGAGATATTGTAATGTAGCAGGGGAATCTGCCGTTTCGGCTACCACAATAGTGTATTCCATCGCCCTCCTTTCCTGGAAGTTAGTCACTACCGTTTCGGCTACCACAATACTGTTATTTAATTCAAGGCTGTTGCTTGATAATCATATCTGTTTTAACATGAATCAATATAATACAATATATTTATTTCTTCTCATTGGTATCATACCCTTACTTCTCAAATGGAGGTCAAAGGTTCAAGTCTCCACGAAGGCATGTATGTGTGAATATCAACTATGAAATTTTTTTTTTCTTGTAGTAGAGTATTGAAGTTTTTTGCATTAGGTTGAGTGATTGATTCAACGAAAGTAATTAATTTGTTATTTTTATTTTTTATTTATTTATTTATTTTATTTTTTTGTTTTTTCTGAATGGGGTGTTTTTTTAAAAATATTCAAAATAGTACAATTACATTAGGAGACAAATCTCCAAAGCCAAGAAATAAATTCTAACTTCAGCAAACAACATATCTCAGAAAGAAAAATTGCAAACCAAATACAATTAATAAGTCTGCTAAACTAATATTGAGATATGTGTTAACATCCCAAATAATAGCTTGCACTGCATGTGAGCTCTGTTCTTGTATCCCTGTATGAAGCATAGCATTTCTACTAGACCATATCTTCCATAGAGTAACTGGAAAAATCCCATTCAAAATCTTAGATTTGAGAGACTTTGTCATAGTGTTTTGCAAAAACCAGTCCACAATGTGATTAAGACTTAAAAACTGAGGAACCTGTAGCTGCAACAAATCAAAAACCCCTCTCCAAATCTCAACAGCAAAACCACAATGATAGAACAAATGTTCATTAGAATGATCCCCAGCATAGCAATTATGACAGATAGAAGTAACTGGCAGTCCTCTTTTCTGCAAATTCACAAAAGACAGATTTTTGTTGTGTAGAATGATGACAACACACAAACTTATCCGAGACCTGCAATGTTTCCAACACAATCTAGCCCATGTGCACCTGTTTCCAGTAACTCTGCAACAATTCCATGCTGCTTTCAGTGAGAAATTCCCATGTTTCCACTTGATTTGATCACTTCCTGCATGAATATCAGTCTGCTGAATAGCAGTCTTCATGTTATCAGAGAAATCTGCAGGTAGATTCCAATTTCTTTGTGTAGAATCACAGATAAAAAAGTTTGTCTATCAAAATTTCTAAATCTATTAGCCCCAAACAGCTATAATAAAGATTGTCCTGTCAAGGGTCTGTCAACAACATGAACTGAGTGCCATCCCCAATCTAAAATTTCACATTGTCCAACAACATCTCTCGGAGCCCCAGATATTTCCAAACAACTGAATCAGTAACCTTTGGAATAACAAGCCAGAAATTAGTCTTGGTCAAATATACTGCCTTCAACCATTGCATCCATAATTTATCTTTTTGTTGAATAAAATCCCAGCACATGATTACCTTTGCTGCAAAATCAATATCTCTAATCTTTCTGACATTGAAACCACTCTCTTCAACAGGAAGAGTGACTTAACTCCACTTAAGCTGAGCCATCTTCTTGGTGTTTTGTTTACCACTCCATAAAAATTGCTTACATCTTTTCTCCAACAAATTTTTAACTTCCCAAGGAACCTTGAATCCAAAAAATCCAATGATATAAATAAGAGAACACAACTGATTTGATCAACTCCACCCTCCCAGCTAAGGATAAGTTAATTGTATTCCAATGACCCAACCTAGCATCCACTTTATCAAGCAGGATCCTATAGTCACCAGTTCTTAGAATGTTATTTGATAAAGGCAACCCAAGATGCTTGAAAGGAAACTGTTCAACCTGAAACTTCAAAATTCTAGATAATCTTCTTCTGCCTCTCACAGCTTTGGAGAAAATAATTGAGCTTTTTTCTTTATTCACTTGCAGCCCTGAAGAAGATCTGAACAGAGTCAAAATATCTGCAATAGCTTTGATTGAGGCCACTTCAGCTTTCACCACCATAACCAAATCATCTGCATAGAAGGCATGTGAAATCTTCAGGCCTATTTTAACCACTGCATTGCATCTCTTGATTCTTCCAACCTCAATATACTTATTTATAAGATTAAAAAATACTCTGTTACAAAGGTAAACAACAGAGGAGACAAAGGGCACCCTTGTCTAAGACCTTTTGAAGCTTGGAAAAAACCTGCAGGGACACCATTACAGAGCACAGAAAAATTTGCTGTAGTAATACGCCCCATTGTCCATGTGATCCACTTCTCACTGAAACCATGACTTTGAAGTGCCTTTTTAATAGCAATCTTTAAAGCCACTGAAGGATCTCCTTTCTTCCTACCAAACCCCTTGACAAGATCATTCACTAACAGGAAGTTATCATGAAGTCTCCTATTCTTGATGAATGCTGACTGTTCTGGTCCTATCAAATTAGGCAGCACAGAACTCAACCTGTAAGCAAGCAACTTAGAGATAATCTTATAAGTAATATTGCACAAGGTAATAGGTCTGTAATTTGCAATTTTGTCTCCATGATTACTCTTAGGGATAAGGGTAAGAAAGGTTGAATTAACTCCCTTTGGAAGATTTCCATTATTGAAAAAATGCAGGACCCCATTCACCACATCTTGGCCAACAATCTCCCAAAATTTCTGAAAGAACCTAGTAGGGAAACCATCAGGTCCAGGAGCCTTATCAGGTTTGAATTGCATCGTAACATTTTTTATTTCCTCAGTAGTGAAACATTGATCAATTGCACAACTGTCTTCCTGAGAAATCTGTTTTCTTGGATTAATAACTTCAGCATTCGTCGCCCCATTCTCATTATATAAATCAGTGTAAAAATTCACTAACCACTCTTTAATTGTGTTAGAATCTGAGGACAGTTCACCTGTAGTGTTTTTTAAAGCTGTAATTGCATTATTACTTCTTCTTTGCTTCACCACATTATGAAAAAAGGCAGTACACTTATCCCCCTCTTTGAGCCACTGAACTCTGGACTTCTGTGCCCACATTATCTCTTCCAAGTCCAAAGAATTTTGATACTTACAACTAGCCTCTTTCTCCTGCTGTATCAACTCAAAATTAACTGGATCATTCAACATCAGCATTTGAACTTTATGTAATTCCTCCCTAGCTGCAAACACTTGCTCTGCCATAATCCCCTTCCTTTTATTCCATTCTTTGATAGCAATCTTAACTTCTCCAAGTTTTTTCTGTAATACATGTAAAGGTTTCCAGAAACAACCGTATTCCAAGTTGTAGACACAACCATCTTCACATCTTCTTAGAGACACCAAATTTTTAAGAATTTAAAAGGCTTAGGCCCTGCTGAGATTCCAAAATTCAAAGAGACAGCCAAACCATAATGATCAGAGAGAGAAGTTGGAGTTAAACTCACTTTTGCATCAGTAAACTTGTGCAACTAACTAAAATTAATCAGAACCCTATCAAGTTTAGCATTAATCATAGTTTGAATTTTTTGTTTGTTATACCAAGACCATTCTCCATTGTTTATAGGCATTTCTTCCATACAGATGTCAAATATAACCCCATTATATTCTTCAAGTAATTTCTGAGATACTCTCTTACCACCCTTCTTCTCATGATTAGCCATAACCATGTTCCAGTCACCTGAGGCAATCCAAGGCCCTGCAATCGTAGTTTCATGAGCCCTGAGAGAACTCCATAGCTCCATTCTATCTGCTGCCTTATTAGCAGCATACACAGCAGAAACATACACAATAGTACCAGACATAATATGTTTAACGTGCAACAACATGATTTGAGAATCTTCCTTCAGCAAAACCACATTAAACAAGACAGGATTCCATCCAAACCAAATTTTCCCCAACTTATTTGAACTATAATTAGCCAACCAAGACCAACCTGGACAAATTTTCTTCTGAATTCTACAAGCCCTCTCCTCATTGACCCTAATTTCAACAAGAATAGTTAAAGCAAAATTATTTTCCCTTATCCATTTCTTAACTTCCTTTTGCATTGGAGACCTATTAAGGCCTCTAACATTCTAGGTACCTAACATTGAGAGGAAGGATGCAGTATCTGACATAGGTATCTGAGGTTTCTTTCTTTGTTTAGATAGCTTTCCTTCATCTTTACCCTCCAATTTCATTGAATTAATCCTCTTGATACCAGCATGATCCTCCACCTCTTGCCCACCTTCTGTTTGCTCTGATAATTGGAGTTATCTCTTGATACACTTCTAAAGAAAAGTTATCCTCTTGAGAGTTAACTACTTCATCCGTCAATTCATTTGTATTGTTAACTTCCACAAGTTGAAAATTATCCTTCTGCTTCTGAACACCCTCCTTAGAATCCACCTTACTTATGTCACTTTGTGGTACCTCCACAAAATCCACATTATCAAAATTACTTTAACCCTTGTCGTCTTCAGTATTCTCTAGCACCACAAATGCATTTGAAGTAACATCAGCGTTGGAATAACCTGCATTACTCTCTCTGTAATTTTATCAACCACTTGGTCTTCACCTTCCACCTCAATCATCTTGCCCTTTTATCTGACCACCCATCTTTCCATCTTCTTCTTAGGTTTAATCTGTCTTGTCTGCAACAACTTCTGAGGGCATTGAGCTTCAGTGTGATCTAGTCTCTTACATACAGCGCACAATGTGGGCTTCCATTCATATTCCAAATCAATGGTACAATCACATCCATGGATATCCACTGTCAATGAATTCGGTAGCAGCTCCTGGACATCCACTTCAACCATCACTCTCACAAATAATCCTTTATCTTTGTGAGTTCATTACGACAAGGAATAGGCAAATCGTAAATCCGTAGCCAAACTGGTACTGTCTCCATCACTTCCTTAACCAGATTCACATTCTTATCCCATTTCTTCAGAATAATTGGGCGTCCCTCAAAAGTATGGATTCTGGATAAAACAGTTTGAATATCACTCTCGTTCTTGAACCTCACCATAAAGAAGCCGTCCTTCAAATAGACCAGAGTAAAATCCTTGGACCAATATTTTGCAACAAAAGCTTTGAAGTATGGGTAGTAAGGTTTTTTTCCCATTACATAACCCACCACCGAGGTCTTCCAAAACGCAACTTCTTCTGCAACATCTTCTTCAGTTATAGAAACTTTCACCCCTCGACATTCTTTATGAAATTTCAGATTTTTGAATGACGAAGTTGTGGTATTATCAAAGAAACTACTAAACATAGGTCATGTAGGTGGCGTGATCCGGCTTGAATCACTTGCCGGCGTCGGGAGGGTGGAGGTTTGGCCCTCCTCCATGGTGGCCGTACCCCCCTTCACGTGAAAAAAACCCTAATTCCTTCTAAATCGTCCTGGTAGAGAGAAAAAGGATAGTTTCGTCTCGAATTTTATGTTTGGCTTGGCATTAAAAATAAATAAATAAATAAATTTTCTTATAGTAGAGTACTGAAGTTTTTTTTGCTGTATGTTTGGTTCTTTTCATTCATTATCATAATGCTAAGGGTCCGTTTGGATGGCGATAACGTTATATGTTATGGTTTGGTACGATATGAAAACAACTGTTTTGGTATTGGTATGTTTTTAGTAGAAATCGGATCCATGTTTGGTAACGATTGTTTTGTTTTTAATAATTGTATATCAGAAACATGATAACGCGTTTGGTATTGTCATGCGTTTTAAGAAATTCAAAAACAAAACACGTTTGAGAATAGTGTTTTGTTATTAAAAATTCTGAATCAATAACAGAATACCTGTTTGGTAAAGACTGTTTTGTTTTGTTTTGAAAAATTATATATATGAATACAATTATAAGTTTATATGTAAAATAGTCCATTTTTCTTTATGATTTGAAATAATTTATGGAAAAAAAAAAAAAAAAAAAAAATCTGCATTAGAGTTGGGAAATTTTTTTTTTTGTTAAATTTACAAGTATAATGGCAACCAAACTACTTTGTAATAATGAATAAATCTGCATAAACATGATTAATGGCAACCAAATTACAAATCTAACTTTGTAATAATCTTTTAATGAGAGTAGATCTTTGCACTCCATTTATCTTTTTCTTTTGGCTTGCATTCCATTTAACTTTGTTTTGTTTCATATATATATATATATATATATTCATGAAGAATGTGAGAGAGAGAGAGATCCTTGTAGTTAAAACTAACAAGAAACAAAGCCAAAACGTTAATCGTCTTGAATTGGTCAGAGTTGAAATTTGGTGAACATTGAAGCTTGTAAATAGTTTTACTTCACTTAGATTAGTTTGAAATTTTGCAGTGGAGGTCCTTCAAATTGGTAATATTTTTTTTTGTTTAGTCATAAGACCATTTCCCCTTTTGTTGAGTATTTATTTTGATAACGGACTTGTGAATATTTCATACAATATCCAACCATAAGCAGAATTGATAAATATGAATAAAGATTAAAAGTAAGCAATCAAGGAAGATCCCTCTTACAAGACTGAACGACATTCACATATATACTTCCACGTATAGTTTTGCTTTATACATCACAATCTTAAGAACTTGAGTGTTGCATCATTCACATATATACTTCCACATATAAGAAGCTAGACATTCCTTTAAAATATTTGAAAGTACACACACACTTCATTACACTTACAAAAAATATACACATAATTGGAGATCACTAATATTCATTCCATAAAATGTACACCCACTTTTTTATACTTGCATAGGCCTCCATTTGATTAACTTAGAGATCACTAGCTTTCTGGAGTTGCAGCAACTAGAGAATGCTTCCTATCAATCCCGCTGGTGCCACTGCCTACAACTTACTGCCATGTCCTTCAATGTAGTAGCAAAAAATGAATTTGAATGTAAAACAAGACATTACCTATAGTAGCAAAATATAAAGCAGAGTTAAATTAAATTTTTATTATTTTTTTTTAAAAAAATCCGGCATGACTTCCCCTTAAAAATGGACATTTCCAAAATTTCAAAACACAATAAACCCAAGGGACACCGCCCACAAAATTAATTCAATAAGGGACACCGCCCACAAAATTCATTTAACAAGGGACACCGCCCACAAAATTAATTCAATAAGGGACACCGCCCACAAAATTCATTTAATAAGGGACACCGCCCACAAAATTATTTCAATAAGGGACACCGCCCACAAAATTCAACTAACAAGGGACACCGTCCACAAATTTAATTCAAGCAAGATATATCTAACCTTCTTTCAGGCTAAGCTGCAAATTTGGAGTGTAAATGACCTCATGCAAAACAAAACACATGAAGAACATTAGAGAAAAACAAAATAACACACGGTAGGAATGAAATAATTAGAAGTAGTAAATAAGATATATCTAACCTTTTTTCAGGCTAAACTGCAAATTTGGAGTGTAAATGACCTCATGCAAAACAAACCACATGAACAACATTAGATAAAAACAAAATAACACACGGTAGGAATGAAATAATCAGAAGTAGTAAACAAATATATCTAACCTTTTTTCAGGCTTAGTTGTAAATTTAAAGTGTAAATGACATCATGCAAAACCAAACACATGAATAACATTAGAGAAAAACAAAATAACACACGGTAGGAATGAAATAATTAGAAGTAGTAAATAAGATATATCTAACCTTTTTTCAGGCTTAGTTGTAAATTTAAAGTGTAAATGACCTCATGCAAAACAAAAGACATGAACAACATTAGAGAAAAACAAAATAACACCCGGTAGGAATGAAATAATTAGAAGTAGTAAATAAGATATATCTAACCTTTTTTCAGGCTTAGTTGTAAATTTAAAGTGTAAATGACCTCATGCAAAACAAAAGACATGAACAACATTAGAGAAAAACAAAATAACACCCGGTAGGAATGAAATAATTAGAAGTAGTAAATAAGATATATCTAACCTTTTTTCAGGCTTAGTTGTAAATTTAAAGTGTAAATGACCTCATGCAAAACAAAAGACATGAACAACATTAGAGAAAAACAAAATAACACCCGGTAGGAATGAAATAATTAGAAGTAATAAATAAGATATATCTAACCTTTTTTCAAGCTTAGTTGTAAATTTAAAGTGTAAATGACCTCATGCAAAACAAAAGACATGAACAACATTAGAGAAAAACAAAATAACACACGGTAGGAATGAAATAATTAGAAGTAGTAATCAAGATATATCTAACCTTTTTTTTTCTCTAATGTCGCAAATAGAGTGTAAATAACCTCAGTAGCAAATTTTACAAATACCCTAAAGCTCACTCCCAAAATGACAGAGAAGATAACACAACAACAACTAATACGTAGTTCAAAATATACCATTTAAGTATATATTACATACCAAATGAAACACAGGAAATTAACTAAATACATATTACATGTCATATATTACAAAAGATGGAAGTTTATCTAACTTCATCTTTCAATAACAACGATAATGAGCAACAAGAGGACAATCACAATAAATATGATTGTGATAGCAAGACATCCACAACCTAGGAAGAGCATGTACTTCTGTCTACATTGTTCATTTTGAATCATTGCAATGACTCTGTCCAAGTCAGATTGAACCTGTTCTTCAACTTGTGCACCTTGGTGCAACTCATCCACCCACATAAATGCATTCATATGTGACTACAAGAAATATAAATTATACAATTAGGAAACAGTAACAGAAATAGCACCTAAAAGTAATTGACCATACCTCCCGAGCCGGACACCTATAGAATTGTCGACCATCATTTTTTGGAGTTCGAGCCCTATACAGATGCATAGGACCTCTACCACATGCACATTGTGGTCGCTCACCTTCAAGCCTATACATAAGTGCGCCTACAAGTACTAAAGCATTTAATATTTGATATCCTAATATAATTAGTTATTACAGTTATCCATAAATAAGGAGCATCTGAGTTTAATTTACGTAATATAATTAGTTATTACAGGCATCCATATTTTAATTCTACACACTATTAGACAGTTTTATAATTAGTGATTACAGTGCTCCCAAATTAGGTTGGCAATACCATCACGATAAATATCCATCTGTCGTATCTGTGTATTAGTAGCACTGACCACCTGAACATCGTCATCCACATCAAGTTCATTTTGTGAAGATTGAGGGGTTTCAGAATCAAAAATTTCATCAGATTCACCTTGGGATCTTACGAAATTATGCAATGTACAACAGGCAATGACAATAAGAACTTGAGTGTCAAAGTGATAAGGGGGCATTTGCTTCAATATAGCGAATCTCATCTTTACCAACCCAAAACATCGCTCTATGATATTCCTCAATGACGAGTGCCTAAAATTGTACACCTCTTCTCTACCATGTGGTCCTCTAGTATGTCTACGATATTCCTGCATATGGTAACGTTGACCTCGGTAAGGGGCCAAAAACCCCGGTTGATTGGCGTACCCAGAGTCGACTAAATAAAACTTACCTGTCATATTAAGTATGTTAAGTATTAAAGTTAACGTATTTGTAATGTAAAATGCACAAATATGAAAACTTAATATTTTTACCTTCGGGTGGTGATGGAAAATTGAAATCCTCATTCTGAATGCACTCATTTAAAATCTTCGAATCATTAGCAGACCCTTCCCACCCTGCTAGAATGTATGTGAATTTCATATCAAATGAACACACGGCCATGACATTTTGAGTCGTATCACCCTTTCGACCACGAAAGGGTATTTGTTGGTCAACTGGCACTACAGCATGGATATGAGTACCATCTATGGCTCCTACACAATTCTTAAAGTATGGGTAAAACTTT